AGGAATTGGCAAAAAAACAAAGCTCCAGGAATTGATGGGATACCTGTTGAGATGTTTCAACAAATGGATGCAGCACTGGAAGCACTCACTTATTTGTGCCAAGAAATCTGGAAGACTGCTACTTGGACTGGAAAAGATCAATATCTGTGCCCATTTCAAAGAAAGGTGATGCAACAGAATGTGGAAATTTTCAAACAATAACCTTAATATCACATGCAAGTGAAATTTTGCTGCTTCTTGTTGTTGTTTGGTGCCATCGAGTCATTTCCAACTCATAGCAGCTCTATGCACAGCAGAATGAATACTTCCCTGTCCCACCCCAGCTCCATGATCCTTGCTATACATATACCCATTGCCACAGCCACTGTGTCGATCCATCTCATTGAGGGCCTTCCCCTCTTTCATCAACACTCCACCTTACCAAGTATGACATCTTTCTCCAGGGAATGGTCCCTTCTGACAACATGACCAAAGTAGATGAGACAAAATCTAGCCTTTCTCGCTTCCAAGAAGCATTCTAGCTGCACTTTCTCCACACAGATTTGTTAGATCATTGAGCAGTGCATGGTGCTTTCAGCATTCTTCACCAGCACCACAACTCAAAAGCATCAACTCTTCTTCAGTCTTCCTTATTCATTGTCCAGCTCTCACATGCATATGAGGCCATTGAAAATACCATGGCTTGTGTCAAGCGCACCTTGGTCCTCAAGGAGACATCTTTGCTTTTCAGCACTTGAAAGAGGTCCTTTGCAGCCAATTTGCCCAGTGCCTTATGTCATCTGATGTCCTGACTGCTGCTTCCATTGGCGTTGATTGTAGAACCAAGCAATTGAAGTCTTTGACACCTTCAATCTTTTCTCCATTTATCGTGATGCTGCTATAGGTACAGTTGTGAGGATTTTTGTTTTCTTTATATTGATATGTAATCCATACTGCAGACTGTATTCTTCAGTCTTCATCAGTAAGTGCTTCAAGTCATCCTCACTTTCAGCAAGCAAAGTTGTGTCATCAGTGTATCTCAGGTTGTTAATGATTCTTCCTCCAATCCTGATGCCACAGCCTTCATATAATCCAGCTTCTTGGATTATTTGCTCAGCATATAAATTGAGTAAGTATGGTGAAAGGATACAACCCTGATGCATTCCCTTCTTGATTTTAAACCACGCAGCACCCCTTGTTCTGTTAGAACGACAGCCTCCTGGGCTATGTACAGGTTCCTCATGAGTACAATTAAATGTTCTGGAATTCCCATTCTTCTCAATGTTACCCATAATTTGTTATGATCCACACAATCAAATGCTTTTGTATAGTCAATAAAACACAAGTATCTTCCTGGAATTCTTGGCTTTGAGCCAAGATCCATCTGACATCAGTAATGATATCCCTTGTTCTGCATCCTCTTCTGAACCCACCTTGCATTTCTAGAAGCTCTCTGTCAATATACTGCTGCAACCATTTTTGAATTATCTTAAGTAAGATTTTACTTGCATGCGATATGAATGATATTGTTTGATAATTTCCACATTCTGTGGGATCACCTTTCTTTGGAATGGGTACAAATAAATTTCATTGCAGATACTTAAAAAATGGTTGCAGCAGTATATTGGCAGGGAACTTCCAGAAATTTAAGCTGCATTCAGAAGAGATGTGGAATGAAGGATATCATTGCTGATGTTGGATGGATCTTGGCTGAAAGTAAAGAATATCAGAAACCTGTTTACCTGTGTTTTATTAATTATGTGAAGGCATTGGATTGTGTGGATCATAAAAAATTATGGGTAGCAATGTGAAGAATGGGGATTCCAGAACACTTATTGTGCTCATGAGGAACCTATACAGGACCAGTGGATACTGCATGGTTTAAAATCAGGAAGGGTGTGTGTCAGAGTTGTATCTTTTCACCATACTTATTCAATTTGCTTGATGAGCAAATAATCTGAGAAACTGGACTACAGAAAGAACACAGCATCAAATTGGAGGATGACTAATTAACAACCTGCAATATGCAGATGACACTACCTTCCTTGCTGAAAGAGTTGAAACACTCACTCATGAAGATCAAAGACTAGTCTTTAGTATGGATTGCACCTCAACATAAAGAAAATGAAAATCCTCACAACTAGACCAATATGCAACATCATGATAAATGGAGAAAAAGATTGAGGTTGTCACGGATTTTACTTTACTTGTATCCACAAATCAACTCCCATGAAAGCAGCAGTCAAGAAATCAGATATTGTATTCCACTGGGCAAATCTGCTGCAAAAGACCACTTTAAAGTGTTAAGCAAAGATGTCACTTTGAAGATTAAGGTGTGCCTAACTCAAGCCATTATATTTTCTATCACCTCATATGCACGTGAAAGCCGGACTATGAATAAGGAAGATCTAAGAAGAGTTGAAGGAGCTCTGGTAGCATACTGCCTAAGGCACTTGACTGCTAACCAGAAGGCTGGCGGTTCAAACCCACCAGCCACTCCTTGGAAGGAAGACTGGGCAATCTACTTCCGTAGTGATACTGCCTTGGCAACCCAAGGAGGGGTCGCTATGAGTCAGGGCTGACTCAATGGCACAAAACAACAACAACAACAAGAGTTGATGCCTTTGAATTGTCATGTTGGTGAAGAATACTGAAACTACAATGGATTGCCAAAGGAATGAACAAATCTGTGCTGGAAGAAATGCAGCTGGAATGCTCCTTAGCAAGAATGGCCAGTCTTCATCTCACCTATTTTGGTCATGTTGTCTGAAGAGACCATTCCCTGGAGAAGGATATTATGTTTGGTAGAGAGTCAGCAAAAAAGGGAAAGACCTTCAATCAGATGGATTGATACAGTGGCTGCAATGATGGGATCAACATAGCAAGGATTGCAAGGATGGCACAGGACCAGACAGTGTTTTTTTTTCCTGTTGTATAGGGTCACTGAGTTGGAGTGGAATGGACAGCACCTAGTATGTATTCACTTATAAATTATTATTACTATTATTACATTGTGTAACAGTATTTAACGTTGTTGCCTTTAACTCGTGTACCTCCAGGTGTCTCCCTGTGCTTTGGTCCTGTTGTGTTGACTTCCCACTTAACAGTATATTGTCTTTCCCTCCACCTAAGTTAATACATGTTTACTATCTAATTAAGTGATTTTTCCCTCCATCCTCCTTCCATCCCTGCTATCAAAGAATGTTTGTGTGTAAATCTTTTCTTAGTAATAGTGGTCTCATACAATATTTATCCTTTTGTGATTGATTTATTTCATTCAGAATAATGTGTCCAGGTTTATCCATATTCTGTGATGTTTCACAGATTATTCTTTAACGTTGCATAGTATCCATTCACTCACTGATGGGTACTTCTGTTTTTCCCATCTTTTTGCTGTTGTTGAATAATGCTGTGAGGAACATGGGAGTGCATACATCTATTTGAGTCATGGCTCTTATTTCTCTCAAATATATACTTAGTAGTGGAATTGCTCTGGTAGCATAGTGCCTAAGGCACTTGACTGCTAACCAGAAGGCTGGTGGTTCAAAACCACCAGCCACTCCTTGGAAGATGGGGCAATCTACTTCCGTAGTGATACTGCCTCGGAAACCCAAGGAGGGGTCGCTATGAGTTGGGTACGACTCGATGGCACATGACAACAACAGTGGAAATGCTCATCATTTGGTATCTCTAACTTTTTAAGGAAGCACTATACTGTCATTGTATTGATTTTTCCTTCTGTATACAGACGAAAAGAATGGATTTTTGACTATTCAATAGATAAAATGACTATTTACTTATTTTTTTAGTGTGCTTGGGTGAAAATTTACAGAGCAAATTCATCTGCCATACACCAATTCACATATACTTTGTTTCATGACATTGAATGCAATCTCCCACAATACAACTCTCCTCCCACTTCCTCCCCATAGCCACCTCTTCCCTGGGTCCTTCCTTCCCATGCACTCCTGCTCACTCTACCCAGCTGTCTTCCTGTGCATACACAGCCCTTCTATTCTCACATGACTGCTCTCTCCAAGAAGCGTATCTACTTAATGTAAATGTTCAGGTCATTTGCCTCTTTTTTTGGCTGGAAGCCACAGGAGTGGGTTCAATTCCAGACCTGAAGGGCAGCTAGGCACCATAGTCTCAGGGGTTCCACCAGGCTCTATCAGACCAGCAAACCTGGTCCCTTTTTTTTTTTTTTTTTTTTTTTTTTATGATTTTGAGTTTGTTCTACATTATTCTCCTTCTCTATCCAGGATCTCCTACATAGATCCCCCTCTGAGTGGTTGACAGTGGTATTCAGTCACCATCTAGTTCTTTTGGTCTCTTAGTTGTATAGGCTGAGGATCGCGTGGTGTACGAGTAGAATGACTTTTCTTGTAAGTCCCAATTCAATGCCATGCATTTGTCATTGACAAAAGTCAGAAGACTCTAGAATAGTACCAGGCCAAAATTAATTTGATTAGAAAAGGAATAAATCTATTTAAGCAATTTTATACTCATAAAACCAAAAACCCACTGCTGTTGAATTCCAACTCAGCAACCCTACAGGACAGAGTAGAACTACTCCACAGGGTTTCCAAGGCTGTAATCTTTACAGTAGCAGATGGCTACATCTTTCTCCTGCAGAGTGGCTGGTGGGTTCAAACTAATGACTATCCAGTCAGGCACTACCCCAGAACTGGGGTAGATGAATAGGGAACTGCCCATATAGTACAGTTAGGACGCATCTGGATAAGAATTTCTGGAAGCTGAAGTCTTCTTTATTGATAGAACCAATAGAACATTCATTAGGGTAGACTAGGTCACAATGTCCCAACATTCAGACATCCAAATTAGACCAATTTCAGTGTGGTTCCTTCAACTTTATCCTATGGCAATTATCTGTACAGAGGGCTTCCAAATTGAAACAATTTGATTTGCATCACTCTTACTCAGTTTTTGGAGACTAACCTCTAGGGCCCAACTAAAAGAAAAAAAAAAAGGATATCGGGCCCAATTAAAATGGCTTAATATTATTCATTTTCTTCTTTGAACATCTTACTTAAATGTTTTATTAGCGCTATTAGCTCAGGGTTCCCACCACGTGCATCAATTTGTTTATAGGCTTTAGATTCAAGCTCTTTAAGAGTATTCTGAGTGTATTCAAAAGAACCTACATTCTCAAGGTAATGTACACAGTATTTTTTAATATCTACATTTTCAGTTCTCTGGCGCAAGATATTCTGCACTTGGGTGCTTTCAGGCCTTGACCAAATAGCATGAATAGTAGGGAATGAGAACTTTCCCTCTGTTAGATCTTCACAAAAACTTTTGTTTTCACTATATTCTTTGGAGTGTAGATTAGCATAATCATCCCTAATTTGGAAAAAGAGCCCAAGTGTATTAAGCAGTGGCTTTAAATCTTCTTTGTAATCAGAAAACAACTGCATGAGACCTACTGCTAATCCAAATAATCCACCTGTTTTTTGCAGCACCATAGCTTTATATTCTTCTTCCGTGGGACAAGTATAATTATCCCTCCAGTATATATCTAGGCCTTGCCCCTGATGGAGTTCCAAAAGCTGGCGAGTAAAAAGCTTCACCGCATCTGGATGATCGAGAGTCAAGACTTTTTCTAAACCAAGGAAATACACATAATTAGCAGAATTGATGACAGATGGAATTCCATAGATGCTGTGTGCCACAGGAAAGCCACGTCGAAGTTTTGAGTTGTCTTCAATATCATCAATGAGTAAACTGGCATTATGCAACATTTCCGTTACTTCAATGATAATCTAACAAAAAAGATAATTGAAAATTTGTCTTTAACTATTCAAAAGAGCTTATAAATACTTAATTATTTTAACAGATTATGAAAGTTTCAAATCAAACCTACTGCCATCGAACTGACTGAAACTCATAGCTACCCTATAGGACAGAACAGAACTGCCCCATACGTTTTCCAAAGCTTTAAATCGTTATGGAGCAGATTGCCTCATCTTTTTCCTGCAGGCAGCTGGTGGGTTTGAACTGCCGACCTTTTGGTTTGCAGCCCAATGTGATAACCACTCTACCACCAGAGTTCCTATAAAAGTTTCATGTGTCCTAAATTTTTACAATGAATGATTATTGAGTAATCTCAAATAAAACAATATTTTGCATGAGCATTAAACTGAATCCATTTTTACAAGACACTTATTTTCTTGGGGATTAAAAGTAAGATTAGAATTGTCTAGATACCTGCAGTTTATCTTCTGGAACTTTCAGCCAATGATTAAAAGCCTGTGAAAGTTTGGTTCTCACTTGTTTACCTGCAATTAAAGAATAAAATTTGGCAATAAAATTAGTATTTGAATTGCAAGAAACACATTTAGAGATTTGTTAATCCAGCCCCATCAATCATTACTCAAGCAGAGCTCATCCATTTTTAAATGTTCACCCCCTCCTCCTCTGAAATTCATACTCTTTCATCTCATTGTGTATCATAAAAACAACTTTAGAATTGGAACAGATTATTAGGAATTATGGTCTAATCTCGGGAGCTCTGGTAGCATAGTGGCTAAGACACTTGCCTGCTAACCAGACGGCTGCGGTTCAAACCCACCAGCCACTCTTCGGAAGGAAGGTTGGGCAATCCTACTTCCGTAGTGATACTGCCTCGGAAACCCATGGAGGGGTCGCTATGAGTTGGGTTTGACTCCACGGCACATAACAACAACAACAACAATGGTCTAATCTATTTATTTATTTTTTTGAAAAGGCAGCCAGACTAATTAGTGGCAGTTAATTAGCAGTGCCTTTTTGCTTAGAACTGCTGCAACTTGATCAGCAAGCAGAAAGACACAATGGATCTGCTTCTTTCCTATCAATAAAATAAGATTATCATGCCCTGAAGTAGGCTTTTTTAACATCTCAAGTTTAGCCCAAAGCTAATGTCTTTACCTTGACTAGAAGCATTAGTTTTTCAACATTTTTTTTTTCTTACATGCAAAGTTCAAGAGAGGTCTTTATACCAGAAGTCGTTTTAGCCCAAATACAAAGGAATGGCAGATTAAAAATCACAAATTCATTTAGTCAAAATGTTCTAAGAGCTTCCTGCTAAAGTAAATGCACAGTAACATTCTAATTTCAAATTAGGTTTCTAATTAGGTTTCAAGAAAGTGGTTACATAAAGAGTGAAGTTTCAATAAACAAAAGTACTATTTTATTTCATGTTATAAGGTATATTTTTATTTACAAAGTGAGATGATACATCAGTGAATAGTGAGTGTATTTTAGAAACCAAATGAACAGTGTACTTTCTTTATTGAAAGAAAGAATTTTCTTGCATGTAAAAGTTCTTATGTAAATTTACTCTATTTTCTTAAAAAGTAGAAGAAATAATATGAAAACATTATAATGAACTACAGTGAATTTAGTTCTTCTGGGAAGGACACAAGTTTCTATATATGTCCTCTCTATACTAATCATCCAAACACTTAAGTGCACATAGAAACTTTCATCACTTATCAAAATGGAACAAAGTTTCATGCTCTGTGAGAAGTCCAGAAGAGAAGGAATCTCAAGATTATGAAAACAGTATCTTCTACATACTAAGCATTGAGATGCATCATGGTCTGGGTAGCTTATACTCTGATCTACTCTCCAGTTTAACAAGGGTCAATCTGGGTTGTACTTAGAATGCACAACTCTGAAAAGTAATACAAATCATTTCGAAAAATAGGTATAAAGATGAAGAACACAGAGAACCAATATGGAGTCACACTTGTTTTACTTCTGAATGTTATACAGAAAACTTGGCTTTTTCTTAAATAGTACAATAAATGCTTTAATTTTCAGATATTGGAGTTTGATTTCATTTTACTTCACTAATTTCAGAAAAATCCTAATATCATCATCATCTTTTATTAGCAAGAGTAACTTTACATAGTACAAATGGTCTGGCCTATCTTTGAGTCACTTTGATAACTCTGACATGTTCTGTGAAAAATAGAAAATAATACAGTATCTTATTTCTTTAGGATAACCGCTTCCTCCCTGTGGTTACTTTTTCCCCGTGTCCTTCTTTCCTATGCATTCTTGCCCTCTGAGTTTTGAGGTTTTATTTTTTCATGGATGCAAGAGTGTAATTCATATATATAAAAAAATAATGAGGTCACTAATGAGAGTTTTAAATATGTTATCTATTGCCTTAAAATAGTACTTCCAGATAATGATTTTTTTTAATATTACAGAAGTCTGCTACATAAGTTAAGCTTATGTTTAAAACATAACTACCAGCACTTATTGCTTAGCATGTCAGTAGACTGGTAGACACTAGATTTTTGTCAGAAATGGTAACTGGTATGTTTTACTGCAGCATAGTTCCTCCAGTCAGAGTGTGCCAACTTATTACAAAAGAAGTCCAGCAATAGGTATGTAGAACACAGGATAGAGTGCCATTTTCTCTATGAGTCACCCTGAAATAAGTGAAGTTACTAGCTGCTGAATAAATGTCATTTAAAAGTAGTCTCTTGGACAGGCAAAATGATCAGGTATGGGTAGGCAAAAGGGAATATATCCATGACCATATAGGTCTGGCAGATGATATTTCTACCTATGTATTTGTATGTGCTATAAGAATAACCGTATATAACAGATCCAACAGAGGACAAAGTTATGACAAATTCTTAGCCATAGCCAAATACCTTGAGGGAGGGAGTCACTGGGCTTGTGGGCTTGTGGCCATGGTTGTGGGCGACACATCAAGCTCAACTGGCCTATCACACCACACAAAAACATTGTTCTTTATCAGACTTTGGTGAGTAGCAACTGGGGTCTTAAAAGCTACCTAAGATGTAACAATTGGTCTCTCCTTGTCTGGAGCAAAGAAGAGTGAAGAAAATCAAAGACGCATGGAAATAATTAGTCCAGAGACTAGTGGACCACAGAAATCTTAGAATATATGACCCTAAGACCAGAAGAACTAGATGATGGCTCCTGCTGCCAACCACTCAAAAAGATATCAAAACTGAAGATCCTGGAAAGAGTGGGAGAAAAATGTGGAACAAAACCCAAAATCATAAAAAGGAGCAGACTTACTGGTATAATAGAGACTGACGAAACTCCTGAGACTATGGCCCTAAGTCACCTTTCAGGCCTAGAACTGAACTCAATCCCATGGTTTAGCTTCCAGCCAAATATCAGATAGGCTTATGAGGTGAACAATTATACCAGGTAGGTACACTTCTTAGAACAATCATCCATGGGAGATCAGAGAGGCAGAATTTGTTCAAGGAGAAAACTCAGAGGGCATGGATATATAGGAAAGGAGGACACAGGGAAAAAGTAACCACAATGTCATGAAACAAAGTAGGTATGAACTGTTGAATGGAAAACGAACTTGCTCTGTAAACTTTCACCCAAATCACAATTAAAATACAAGAAAAGAAAGAAAAAAACAGCAGTTTCTTGGCTTTTTCTTAAACAGTGGACAGGTTTCCCTTTGAATTCTCCATCTGTCTTCCCTCTACTCTTTTGAAGCCTTGACATTAGCAGGTGAATCTCCTTTAGAGTCTGCTAGAATAGAAACAGCACTAATCACATTGGTTTCCAAGATGCAGATTGGGAGTTAGCATGCTCTGGCTTTTCATAATCATATTTATCTTCCCTAAGGTCATGGAGAAGGAGCTCTGGTGACATAGTGCCTAAGGCATTTGACTGCTAACCAAAAGGTTGGCGATTCAAACCCATTAGCCACTCTGCAGAAGGAAGACTGCACAATCTACTTCCATAAAGATTTACCACCTTAAAAATCCAAAGGGGGTTGCTATGAGTCATAACCGACTCAATGGCAGCAAGTTTTTTTTCTTCCTTAGAGGGTCACGGAAAATAGAAATGCACAGATTACCACTGAGATGTGCTTACAGAAGTGTGCGTTTTAGAAAAGTTTTTTTTTTTTTTTTTTTTAATGTCTACTGTATTAGAGTTGGGACTAACACCAAACTATAGTTTAACTATATTATGGATGAAGTAGGCTTTTGATAGTGACACAGTGGTTAAAGCCTCAGATGTCAACTGAAAGGTTGTTGATATAAACCCACCATCTGCTCTGTGGCAGAAAGATGTGGCAGCCTGTTTCTGAAGAGATTTACAGCCTATAAAACAGTTCTATTCTGTCCTATGGGGTTGCTATAAGTTGGAACTGAGAGTAATGAGTCAAAGGGATTTACATTATTTCTATGAGAAAGAACATTCCAAGTTCCAATTAACTAGGTTATAAATGAATTCTTATTATAAGAACCCACACATTTGGGGAGACTCTATTACTTCCAGAGTTGGGCTGGCTGTAATCTTTATGGAAGCCCGTCACCAAGCCTAGATCTTCTGTGGTGCCACTGTGTGGATTCAAACAGGCAGTATACAAGTTATTAGTCAAGTGCAGACTGTGCCTTCCAGGGACCTTGAACCCACACTTTATAAAGAGTTTTTACTTATTGTTATCCTCTATCGGACATTCTGCAGTTTTTTTTTTTTTAAAAAAGCAACACACACACACACACACACACAATTAGGCAAGTGTTGCTATAGGAAACCACATCCACTGACACACTCTTATATTAGAATAATGTGAGCTGTGCTTCCAAAGGAGTACCTAGGTGATGCAAACAGTTAAGCATTCAACAAGAAGCCAAAAAGCTGGTGGGTTAAATCTACCCAGACACACCTTGGGAGACAGGCCTGGTGATACACTTCTGAAAAAATCCTACAGAGCAGTCTGGACACGAGTCACCATGAGTCACAACTGACTTGATGATAACCAATAATAATGTTTCCAAATAATGTGGTCTATAAGCAGCATTATTTCAATCTCAAACTAGAAGTATAAGACATGCAATGTGTGTGACAGTGGAACACTTGAACATGGAACGTCACCATATATCTAAACAATAAGGAATAGGAATGTGTGACATCCATAAAGAAGAAAACCTCTCTAATGGAGGACTGAAATGTTTTAAGTATTTTTATTTTTTAAGGCATGTTACATAATTGGGTATTCTTAAAAGAGTGCTTCAAAAATATACCTTGTGGCTGAAATCCATTAAATGGGGAAGAAATTGTTTGTTTAATAAATGGTGCTGGCAAACTGGATATCCATTTGCAGCAAAATGAAACAAGATCTATACCTCATACCATACACAAAAACTAACTCCAAATGGATCAAAGACTTAAATGTGAAACCTAAAACTATAGAGTTCCTCAAGGAAAAACTATGGGCAAATTTAGGGGCTCTAATAACAGGAGCTCTGTAGCATAGTGCCTAAGGCACTTGACTGCTCACCAGAAGGCTGGCGGTTCAAACCCACCAGCCACTCCTCGGAAGGTAAGTTGGGAAATCTACTTCTGTAGTGATACTGCCTCGGAAACCCAAGGAGGGGTTGCTTTGAGTCAGGTCTGACTCGACAGCACAGAACGACACAACAATACATGGCATAAATAGACTATCAAGCATGACCCAAAATGCACAAACAGCAGAAGAGAAACTAGATGAATAGGACCTTCTAAAAAATTAAATTCTTGCGTGCTTCCAAAGACTTTTCCAAAACAGTCTTTAAAAGAGAACCTACAGAAAAAATATTCTGCAATGACATATCTGACAAGGGACTTATCTCTAGAATTTATAGAACACTCCAACACCTCAATAACAAAAAGACAAATAACCCAATTAAAAAATGGGCAGAAGACATGAATAGACACTTCACCTAAGAGAACATTCAGGCGGCTAACAAAAATGAAGAAATGCTTAAGATCATTAGCCATTAGAGAGATGCAAATCAAAACAACAATGAGATACCATGTTGCCCCAGCACTACTAGCAAAGTTCAACAAGACACAAAATAACAATGTTGGTGAGGATGCAGAGAGACTGGGACTCTCATACATTGCTGGTGTCACTATAAAATGGTACAAACACTGTGAAAAGCAGTATGGAGATTCCTTAAAAAGTTGGAATTAGAAATATCACTTGACCCAGCCATTCCATGACTAGGTATATATCCTAAAGAAGTGAGAGCCATGACAAGAACAGACTTACACACCCATGTTCATCACAGTACTATTTACAATAGCTAAAAGATGGGACAACCTAGGTGTCCATCAGCTGAGGAATGGATAACCAAACTATAGTACATATACACAATGGAATACTTTGCAACCCTAAAGAATAATGTAGAATCTGTAAAACACTGCATAACGTGAATGAACTTGGAGGACATTATGCTGAGTGAAAAAAGGCAATCACAGGACAAATATTGTATTATTCTGTTATTGTAAAAAGTCAAGGAAACGTTTCTATATAGAAGGAAATTTTCTCTGTTGGTTACCAGGGGTGGGAGGGTAGGGTAGGGAACACTGTTAGATAGGAAGAGATAAGTATTGATTTGGGTGAAGAGAAGGGCAATGTACCAAATGTGAATGATCAACATGGTGACACTGAGGAAGACGACGACATAGAGAGATACATAGGATGTACAAATAACAAAGATGAAGCCTTCTGCACATATAGTACTGTGTTGTCAGTGAAGGCAAACATGGGTATATGGGTGGATAGATGGGAGGACAGGCTGAACTTTTAGGTATGTCTATGCTGGGGGAAATGTACCCAAGACCATGATATAGGGTTGGCAGACAATGGTTCTACAAGTGTATTTGTATGTTCTGTAAGAATTACCAGGTGTATAGTAGAGCTGACAAGGGACAAGGTTGTAGTCACTTCTTGGGCACATCCAGCTACTCAGAGGGAGCAAGTATTTGAACCAATGGGCTCGGGACCATAGTCAGAGGGGACATCAGGCTCAACTGGCATAACATACTACATAAAACATTGTTCCACCTCCTATTTTGGCAAGTTAGTGACTGAGATCTTAAAAGCTTGCAAGCAGCCATCTAGATGCAACGATGGACCTCTCCTCATCCAGAGCAAAGAATGAAGAAAACCAAAGACTCATGGAATTAATCAGTCCAAACGACTGGAACACCATGCAATCCTCAGCCTATATGACTATGAGACCAGAAGAACTAAATGGTACCTGGCTACCACTGTCAACTACTTGGAGGGGGATCTATGTAGGAGATCCTGGATAAAGAGGGAGAACAACGTAGGACAAAACTCAAAATCATAAAAAAAAAAAAAGAGGAGGTACCAGGTTTCCTGATCTGATAGAGCCTGGTGGAACCACTGAGACTATGGCCCCTAGCTGCCCATCAGGTCTGGAATTGAACCCACACCTGTGGCTTCCAGCCAAACAAAAGACAGGCATATGAGTTGAGCGTTTACACCAGGTAGACATACTCCTTGGAGAGAACAATCATGGGAAAAGAAGGGCTGTTTATGCATAGGAAGACAGCTCAGGGGGCAGGAGTGGCTGGAGGGATGGATACAAGGAAGAGGTAACTATTGGGAGGAAGTAGGAGGGGAACTGTTGCATTGGGGTAAATCGTAGTCAATGTCATAAGACAAAGTATATGCGAATTGCTGTATGGAAAGTGAATTTGCTCTGTAAACTTTCACCCAAATCATAAAAAAAAGAAAAAAAATAAAAGTACCTTGTAAGAACAAAAGGGTACTTATTTCTCATATGTATCACTTTCTGGTGGTGTAGTTCCTAAGGCATTTGACTGCTAATCAAAAGAGCGGCGGTTCAAACCCATCAGCACTCCTCAGAAGGAAGACTGAGCAATCTCATTTCCATAGAGATACCGCCTCGGAAACCGAAGGAGGGATTGCTGTTAAGTCAAAATCAACTTGATGGAAATAAGTTAGGGTTTTTTTTTTTTCTTTGGCTATCACTTTAAATAGAAAATCTCAGGAGCTAGCAAGTCTAATTTTATGTTTGCTAACATTTGAATGACCTGCCATGGTATGAAAACTACCCTATGTGGCCTGTAACTGAATCGTTACCTGGTAACTGAAGTAAATATTCGTAGGGTTCTAGAAGAATTCTTTGGACTGTTTCTTGAGCCTTCTCCATTATTTTTAAATTTCAAAGCTGATCTGTGAAAAGGAGAATCATAAAGAAGGTATGATTAATCAAATAATCTTGAGAGTCAAACTATAAAGGAAGTTTTCTTGTAAGGCATTTTTGGAAAGGAAGACTTTAAGTTTGGTTTTAAAAGAAAATTCTACATGGATAAACCTTGTACATAGTAAGTAAAAGAAGTTGTTATAAGACACCACAGATTGTATGATTCTCTGTATATGAAATACTCAGAATAGGTTAAGTCCAGACAGAAAGGTGCACTAGTGGCACAGTGGGTAAGGCATTTGGCTGCTAACCAGAAGACTGGCGGTTTAGACCTACCAGCTGCTCCATGGGAGAAAGTGAGGCAATCTACTTCTGCAAAGATTTACAGTCTTGGTAATAAAATGGGGGTCACTATGAGTTAGAATCAACTCAATGGCAGTGTTTTTTTTTGTTGTTGTTGTTATTGTGTGCCATCGAGTCGGACCCGACTCATAGCGACCCCTCCTTGGGTTTCCAAAGTAGTATCACTAGGGAAGTAGATTACCCCACCTTCCTTCCGAGGAGAGGCTGGTGGGTTTGAACCACTAGCCTTCTGGTTAGCAGTCAAGTGCCTTAGGCAATATATATAATATTACCATTTTATCCAGTTTTAAGTGTACAATTTGGTGCATTAAGTATATTCACACAGTAACCTTCACTGCTATTTCCAGATTTTTATCATTCCAAGGAGTCATGGTGGCACAGTGGTTAAAGCACTGGGCTGACAATTGAAAAGTTGGCAGTTCAAACCCACCAGCTGCTCTGCAAGAGAAACATAAGGTAGTCTACTTCCATAAAGATTTACATCCTTGGAAACCCTCTGGGGCAGTTGTACTTTGTCCTGTAAGATTGCTATGAGTTGGAATTGACTTGACAGTAATGGGTTTAGTTTGGTTTTAGTTCATCATCTCAAAGAGAAACTCTTTACCCATTAAACAATAACTTCCCATCTCCTCTGCTTCTATCTTCTTGTAACCTCCAGCCTTTATAAATTTGCCTATTCTAGATAGCTGATGTAAGTGTAATTGTATATTGTCCTTCTGTGTTTGGTGTAGTGAACTTAACATAATGTTCTTCCAAGGTTAAATCATGTTGTAGCATGTATCAGTTCCTTCCTTATTATAACTCCATGATATTCCATTGTATGTATGTACCACATTTTGTTCATTCATCTGTTGATGAGACACTTGGGTTGTTTCCACATTTTGCATATTGTGAATAATATTGCTATGAACACTGGTGTACAAGCATCTGTTTGAGTCCTTGCTTTTAAGACTCTTGAGTATATTCATCAGAATGGAATCACCGGGTCTATGTTTAAGTTTTTGAGAAACCGCCACATGGTTTTCCACAGTGGTTGCACCATTTTACATTCCTACCAGCAATGTACAAAAGGTTCCAATTTCTCCACATCCTCACAACACCTGGCTGTGAAGTGGTATCAGGTTTCTTCTGAGGATAGAGGAGGACCAAAATGTTCTAAAATTACACTGTGGTGATGGTTGTAAATACACTAAAAAACAGTTATACATTTCAAAAGGGTGAACTGTATGGTATGTAAATTTTATCTAAAAAAATTAAATTCTTTATTCAAGTGATTACATTGGTCTAAATATCTGCCTGGTTTTTAAGTGGTTTCCTTAGTTAAGTGATTTATATTAAGCCTTTCCTATTTTAATGAACCGTAAAAGGTTTAAATTGTTGCCATTATGTAAAAAAAAAATCAACAGAATTAAAAGACACTTACTTTTATATTTGATTACATACATTATAAACCCACTTTTTCCATAAGCATTAAGATGGGTATACTTTGTATACTTAAATTTTAAGGGGAGAACCCTGTATTTTCTCTACAATCAACCCATTTCAGGTTTAAATTTGATTTAAACATACATTAACTTGAACGCAATTAGTTATTAAAAATATTCCCTTATAATGCTGTATTATTCTGAATTTTACTTATACTTCATTTCCTAAAATGAGTCTTCCTAGAATCCTGGACAATCTACTTCCATAAAGATTTACCACCTTAGAAACCCAATGGAGATCACTACGAGTCAGAATTGACTCAATGGCAGTGGTTATTTTTTGTGTTAGAGGCCTCCTTTACTGTGAATTTCTGCTGTTTGTAGTATCTGTTTCTATTTATCCTATTGTCGTTATGCGCCGTAGAGTCGGACCTGATTCATAATGACCCCTCCTTGTGTTTCTGAGGTGGTATCACTACAGAAGTAGATTGCACAACCTTCCTTCCAAGGAGTGGCTGGTGGGTTTGAACTGCCAGCCTTCTGGTTAGCAGTCAAATGCCTTAGGCGCTACCCTACCAGAGTTCCAATTTACCCTATTAGAGTTCCTATTTTTTTGTTGCTCTGACAACTCTGGCATATTTTAGGAGGTTTCACACTTTTGTTTCTATGATTTGGTGTCTAGCATCACTAGGGCTCTCCTAACCAATTTTAGCTGCCCTACAGACATAACAACACAAGACTAACTATAATATGGTTATTTAATTATAGTTCGCATTATGCTTTAAGGCCGGGGCCTGAGGTAGGCAGGCGCAGGGCTTGGGGGCTGCTTTTTGCTTAGGGGCAGCTCTATCTCAAGACTGGGGCCCAAGGTAAGCAGGTGCGGGACTGAGGGCTGTTTTCACTTGGGGGCGGCTCTATCTCAAGGCTGGGGCCCGAGGTAGGTAGGCACAGAGGGGTTAGGAACAACTAAGGGAGATGAATTTGTCTGTCAGTTTGTTGCCCTGCGGTGGCTTATGTGTCGCTGTGAGGCTGGAGGCTATGCTGCCAGTGTTGCAAAATGCCAGCAGGGTTATCCATGGTGGACAGGTTTCAGCGGAGGTTCTGGGCTAAGACAGACTCGAAGAAGGAAGAGGCCATCCACTTCTTAAACAATTGGTCACTGAAAATCTTATGAATAGCAGTGAAAACACTGTCTGATATATTACTGGAAAACTTTATGTATAGCCCTGAAGCATTGTCAAATACAGAGCTGGAAGATGAGCCCATTAGGTCAGAAGACACTCAAAATTTGACTGGGAAAGAGCTGACTCCTCAGAGTAGACAACCTTAATGATATGGATAGAGTAAAGCTTTCAGGACCTCCATTGGCTGATATGGCACAACTCAAAATGAATAGAAACACAAACATCCATTAATAATTGGAACATGGAATGGATTAAGTATGAATCCACAAAAATTGGAAGTTGTAAAAAATAAAATGGAACGCATAAAGATCGATATCATAGGCTTTAGTGAGCTGAAATGGACTGTTTTTGGCCATTCTGAATCAGACAACCATGTGATCTACTATGCTGGGAATGACAAATTCAAGAGGAATGGTGTGGCATTCTTCATCACAAAGATTGTTTCAAGATCTGTCCTGAAGTACAATGCCATCAGTGATAGGATAATATCCACATGCCTACAAGGAAGACCAGTTCCTACTATTATTATTCAAATCTATGCACCAACCACCAAAGCCAAAGATTTTCACCAACTTCTGCGATCTGAAATTGACTGAACATGCAATCAAGATGTGTTAATTATCACTGGTGACTGGAATGTAAAAGTTGGAAACAAAGAAGAGTTAGTGGTAGTTGGAAAGTATGGCCTTGGTGATAGAAATAACGCATGAGACCGCATGATAGAATTTTGCAAGACCAATGACTTATCCATTCCAAGTATCTTTTTTCAACAACTTAAGTGATGGCTATACATGGGGACTTCACCAGATGGAATACACAGGAATAAGACTGACCACATCTGTGGCAAGAGGTGATGGAAAATTTCAATACCTTCTGCCAAAACAAGGCCAGGAGGTGATAATGGAACAGACTGTCAAATGTTCATATGCACTTTCAAGCTGAAGTTGAAGACAATTAAAACAAGTCCACGAGAGCCAACATATGATCTTGATAGTATCCCTTCTGAATTTAGAGACCATTTAAAGAAAAGATTTGATACACTGAAGACCAATGACTGAAAACCATAGGCATCGTGGGATGATATCAAGAACATCATTCATGAAGAAAGCAAGAAGTCATTAAAAAGCAAGAAAGGAAGAAAAGACCAAAATAGATGTCGGACGAGACTCTGAAACTTGCCCTTGAGCAGAGAGAAGCTAAAGCAAATGGAAGAAGATAAAAGAGCTGAACAGAAGATTTCAAAGAGCAGCGTGAGATGACAAAGCCAATTACTATAATGAAATGTGCAAAGACCTGGAGTTAGAAAACCAAAAGGGAAGAAAGAACACTCTTGGCATTTCTCAAACTGAAATAACTGGAGAAAAAATTTAAACCTCAAGTTGCAATACTGAAAAATTCTATGGGCTAAATATTGAATGATGCAGGAAACATCAAAAGAAGATGGAAGGAATACACAGTCACTGTACCGAAAAGAATTAGTGGATGTTCATCCATTTCAGGAGGTGGCGTATAATCAAGAACCAATAGTATTGAAGAAGTCGAAACTGCACTGAAGGAACTGGTGAAGAAGAAGCTCCAGGAATTGATGGAATACCTACTGCGATGTTTCAACAAACGGATATCCTGCTGGAGGCATTCGGTTATGCCAAGAGATTTGTAAGACAGCTACCTGGCCAACTGACTTGAAGAGATCCTTATTTGTACCCTTTCCCAGGAAAGGTGATTCCACAGAATGTGGAAATTATCGAACAGTACCATTAATGTCACATGGGCTCAGGGATAGCAAGGATTTTGAGGCTGGCACAGGACCAAGCAATGTTTTGTTCTGCTGTGCATAGGGTTGCTATGAGTCGAAAATGACTCGACAGCACCTAACAACCACCACCACCACCACCTCCACCACCATCACAGTTCATGATTAGTGCTGTTAAGAGTCACGTATCATGGAATTTTAGAATTGGAAGGTACCTTATTATTGTATTATTATTACTCAGGGGTCATGTAGCCCCCTGAATCCTTTACATGTACCTCCAAT